CACGGATGTCCCTGTGCTGGCGGCCATGGTTGCAGCCAGTGGCAACCCATGTTGCCAGGGTCCTCTGTCCTTCTCCAGGGGCTGCGCTCTCCTGACACGCCCGAAGGCCTCGAGATGGTCCTTGCCTCTAAGCATTCTGGCTGTCCTTCTCTCAAGACAGATCTTTGTTCTTTTGGCAGGTTAAGGAACTTTGGCTGTTCTTCTCCAGCACCGCAATTGATATGCATTGATTCTTCTTCAGCCTTCCTTATTCAATCTCCAACTCCCACATGAATGTGAGGCTACTGAAAATATGGCTTGAGCCACGTATACCTGAGTCTTCAAAAAACACCCTCGCTTTTCAACACTTTAAAGAGTTCGACAGCAGATTCACCCAATGCAATGTGTTGTCTGATCTTGTCTGCTGCTTCCAGGAGCACTGGCTGTGGATCCAACAACTGGACACCCTTGGCAAGTTCAACCTTACCTTCACCTATCATGATACAGGGCACTTAACTTGATAAACAATAGTTTAGCTTACGCAAGTCTGCTTATACTCTTAAAATATGATGGCTTTCATCGTTAGGTTGCCTATCAAGTCCGTTGCAACTCACAGCGACCCAGTGTATGAGAACAAGACACTGCCCGGCCTTGCACCATCCCCACAATTGTTATGTTTGAGCCGGTGATTCAGCCAGAGTCGATCCAGTTCATTTGATGGTCTCCCTCTTTCCCTGCGCCTCTACCAAGCAGGTCCTTGTCCAGGGACGGGTCTCTCCTGATAACATGCACAAGTACAGTAGACGCATCCTCCTCACTGCTAAGGAGTGTTCTGGCTATATTTCCAAGACAGATCTATCTGTTCTTCTGGCAGACCTTAGTACTTTCAGTAGGCTTTGCCAACACCTTAGTGTGAATGCCTGAATTCTGTGATTTCCTTATTCACCGTCCAAGTTGCACATGCAAGGAGGCAATGGAAAAGACCCGAGTGTGGGCCAGCACTCCTCGGTACTCACTGACATCCTTCCTCTCCAACACATTCTAGAGGTTTTGTGCAGCAGATTTTAAGATCTATATGGGATCAGATTGTCAAGAGCAACTTGAAAAATTAGACAGGAAGCTTAAGACAGTGAATTTATATGACTAGAGGAGGAGATGGGAGGGTAAGAATTGTGTGACTCAAATAAACAATGTCCCTCAGGGGTACATGAAGAAAGTATTGAATTGGTGTGTGGTTTGCTGTGTAGACCCTCAACAAAATAAATCTTTTTTTAAGAAGCATTACACCACCTGTTAGCTTTCCTAATGAGCCCCACGGTCACTGAGCATTATTTGTGAATTCTGTGTGGCCATTTCCACAAATTACCAAACCCAGCAGACAAGTAGGGTGATGTGAGAGGGATGGGTGGTGCCAGCGTATGATAGAAGGAAGGTGGTAGGTCTGACCTCTGCTCAAAGATTCATCCCGTGGGCAGATGTGGGGATGCCTTCTCCTCCTTTGTGTAACCGGAGGTGGTCAGAGGTGGCCTCCAGGCCATTTCCCTCAGACTCTTAACAGAATGACTGCTCCTCAAACCAAGAATCCAAGCCTGGAGAAAATGAAGTAGACAAACTACCGGGTTTGCTTTTGTCCAAATGCGTTTAATTCTATCTATTCCAATCCCTAAGAGGGAAAATAAAAATTAAAAGTAACAATTATTCAAAAACCAAATCATTAAAAAAATTACACCCCCTCCCTTAGCAATAAATACTGAACTGATATGTACACAGGAGGCTCAGGAAGGAGGTAAGAACAGGAACCTTGGGGACTCCATCCACCACTGGGAGAGTGAGATCCCAACAAGTCTGCCCATTCCGTGCTCTCTGCCTCACGCAGAGAGCAGTGAGAGGCGCAGGAGCAGCATCCATGGGGGAGCATTCGGCCCTGGAGGGGGCTCGCGTAGAGCAGAGCGAGATACCGATGGGAGGCACCCAGTGCACAGGAAGGGGAAGTCTTCATGCCAAACAGCCTCAACCCCATCCTGGCCGCGTCACTGCCCTTGAGCTGTGCCCCGGGGCCATCTCTCCACCTTTAGCTTGTGAGTCAAGGCAGGTCATTCGCACTGTGGTCGGGAGGCGACCGTGGCCGCAGCCTGGCTGCTGGAGCCCGGAGGCTTCCCATTCACCACTAGCAGGAGGGGTGTCTCCACACGGACACTGCAGAAGGAGTAGTCCTGGAAGAGAGACACAAAGACGTTCAATATGGATCCTCACACGGAAGAAACTCCACCTGCAACTGCCTTCCACTCCCACTACTTCTCGAAGTTTTCAATCTTCAGAAGGAAAATCTGGGCAGGGACGGTACCAGCAGTGTCCCAGAGAGAATGGGACAGTGGTCTGACTTGAAAAGAAAGGCTCCTGGCATGAACAAAGGATGCCTCCTGCTCTCAGACAACCTGCTCTTCCCACGGGGGGGATGGGGGGCTGTTGCTAATGAACTGGATCCACAAACGCGGCCAACCAGAGGTGGAGATTCTTAGAGAACTCAAAGTGCCCATGTGTGTCAGGCCCCCATTTAATCTACCAAATGTAAGATAAAGTGACTTCTCCCATTATATCAGCAGGAAAAAGTAAAATGAGTGATACGTTTTCCTCCTTACAGAAATGATGTACATTCACTTCACTTTGCCAGTTTGAATTTAAGTTGCAAAGCATGTTGCCAAATGGCATCCTCCAAAATATGTCAATTGTCCAATGGTAGTGTGAAAGTACTTTTTTTCAAGTCAAAGTAAGGATGCGAATATGGATAAGTGACCAGAAAAACAATGGCAATTTGCAAAAGGAATATAGTCAATGAATATAGTCAATGATAAAATGATCCACTCCACCAATAATCAAGTATCAGTGTTCATGCCTTATCTTTCAAACAACATTAACAGTTATCTTTTCCAAAGGTTTCCACTCATAGTTGAAAACACTACAGGGCAATAATTACTCACACCTGTTTTGATAACAGTCACTAATTGGTATGACATCCCAGAGAGTAGTGTGGCACAGCTACCCAAAGACTCAGAATTCTTTGTACCTTTTTCCAGTAGATCCAGGATTTAATTTCATTTATGGAAATAGCCATGGATATGCGCAAAGACACAAATGGTCATTACAAGACTTTTTTTTTAAGTAAATCATTTTATTGGGGGCTCTTACAACTCTTATAACAATCCATACATCCATTTTATCAAGCACATCTGTACATATGTTGGCATCATCCTTTTCAAAACATTTTCTTTCTACTTGAACCCAAGACTTTTTCACAGCAGTGAAAAAGTGGCCCTAACCTAGACCTGGGGCCATCACATTTTTTTCTGTAAGGGGCCTAGGAGTAAATATTGAACTGTACGCTCTGCTGGCTCTCCGGTCTTTGCCAGCGAATTATTCGACTCTGTCACTGTCCTGCAAAAGCAGCCACAAGTAGCTAAGGAAAGGGGCTGTGTTCTGATGGAATTTGAATTTCTTACAATATTCACGTCACAATATATGGTTATGATTTGGGGGGTGGTTTTTTTTTAAATCATATAAAAATGTAAAACCATAGATTTGGGCCTTAGTTTGCCACACAGTCTTGATGGTGAAAGTATTCAAATACCCACCCTCATAAGACTGAGACAATGACGGGAGTTAGCTCTCAGCTGGGGCCTCGCACTCAGTGAAGTGATGTCTAAATGTTAACTATCCTCCTCCTCCCACAGGACCACGAAGACCACCTTTATGGGTCAGTTCAAACCAATGTTGTGGGATATGTACAATCACAAAAGAATGCTCATCGACATCTATAGATATCCTACGCACAAGTTAAAATCTACATGTAACAACATGTGTTATCTATTTGTGAAATGGGCAAACACCAGGGTTATATACACAAAGCTGTTAACATCTCAGTGTTTCCATCTGCTTGCTTTTATTTCTTGTTCCTTACCACTACTATCCACTTTCAGTAATAAAAAAAGCCTAAATGTCTGCACACACACACACACACACACACACACACACACACACACACGCACGCGCACGCTTACACCTCGGTCTTTCCGGAGCCGTGTACAGGCTCTGTCTTTCCAGAGCCTGGGGAGGAGAGCACCCTAGTCAGCACTTACCTTCCCCTTGTGCTGAATTCGGTGCAGCCGGAGGCTGGGCTCAGGAATGGCCACGGAGTCCCCAATGAGCACACCCCAGCTCTGCACAATATTGTACACCATGACAGCAAAGCAAGGCCCATCGGAGTCCACCAGGCCAAACGTACTGCCGGGTTGAACGTATTGCGGAAAAGAAGACAAAGAGAGAGAGAAAAAGAACAAGGGCAGGAGAGAAGAGCATAAAATAGTGTGAGCGCTTTCCAGCTGTTGATGAGAAAACATACACGGTTCCCCGCCACCGTCATCACCCACTCTGTATGGCTGCGTCATGATTTATTTCAGGTATAATATATCCCCAGAGAATACACAAAATCATCCTCGATCTCACTTTGATTAAAAACATGAACACACGCACACTGAGGCCATGCAACAATTGATGTAGTCATCTAAAATTTTGCAGCTGAAATATGATTCCTGGCCTATCAATTTAACTAACACATGGGTCACCAAACCCTCTATGTCGATCAATTTCATTTAATGCCACAAACTTTCATTGAATAGTGTGCTAAGCGTTGGGTTTATTAGCAATGAGATACCGATCCAGCTATGAGTGCGTTTGTAACCCAGCAGAGTCCGACAATTTCGCCTACAGCGCAGTGATAGGGGTTGGAATATCATTTTCTCGGTGCTGAACTCAGGGAAGCTGAGGGTGGACTGTCAGAGCCCAGAAGAGAAATGTCTACATCAAAACGGGAAAGGAGAGGTGGATTCCCAGAGGAAGTAGCCCGTACAGTGAATCTTAAAGAACTACCACCAAAAAAAAAAAGCTGAATTAAAACAGGAAAACGAATCCTCTGTAGACATTTTTCTTTTTAAACCTCTGGAGCGATGAGGCAGAGAGGCCTGGACCAGAGAGAGGAGGAGGAGAACTTGCGGAGTGACGAGCACGCTCTGCAGCTTGATGGGGTTTGGGTGGTCCAGGCGTGGGCCAGGTGTCACAGCCCAATCCACGGCCACTTAGGGGTTGTGCCTTTCGCTGCATGAAAACTTTGAATCAAAAGAAAAACCTGGAACAAAATACTAATTTCTAGTTAACGATTACATGCTGAAGTATTTAGGGAAAAAAGACCGCAATCGGCTTTAAAATATACCCCAAACAGGGCAAATTAATGAACAGTGAGCTAGGTAGATGTGTAATAAACCTAGTATGTCGTGAATGGTAAAATCTAAACGGTCAGCATTACAGGAATGTTCATTATAAAGTTCTTTCACCTTTAATGTACATTAAAATGTTTCTAATATTAGGGGAGTGGGGAGCAAGCTAGGTCAAGAAGGTGGCAAAAACATGTTCAGAAACCATGGTTGGAACAGAAGACACACGTGGAAAAGTGGCAGAAGATGGTGCAAAGGGGTAGCCAAGGAGTAAATCAGGACGGGCTGGGAGATCAAGCTTTATCCCCAAAATGACCAAGTGCAGTAAGGGACGTATCAGACTTGCACCTGGGGAAGAGTCCGGGGCAGCACTGTGGAACAGAGCAGTGGGAGCTGATCGGGTACGTGGGACTGCCTTTAAGGAAGGAGGGACCAAACTGGTTCCAGCTGTCCCTGAGTGAAGTCCTACTCATGACAGCCCCACGTGTGTCAGAAGAGGACTGTCCTCTGCTGTTTTCAAGAGCTCGATTTCTGGGCATAAGATGTCAGGCCTTTCCTCGGGGTGGACTCCCCTCCAACTTTTTGATAAACGGCCCAGGGCATCAGCCATTTGCACCATTCAGAAACAGAAAAGCGGGTACAAAAAATGTGAACCGATAGGTCGTGGGGCGTGCCTCCCAGGGGGAGGATGGGGGAAAGGTTAGCCCGGCTTCCAGAAGTTTCCATCAAGTGACTGAGTCGAGGTGATGTCATGCATTGACAGGAAGTACAGGAGGGAGCTGCGGGTTTAGATGACGAGATGGCAGGCTCAGTTCTGGACATACTGAGGGAGAGATTTCGGGCTGGCGCCCACAGACAGCTGGCTAGAGGAGGTCAAAGCTTGACAGCGAGGCTTGGGCTGGAGCTACACCTGTGAGCATCCCGGAGGCAGCCAAAGCCAAGTCTGGGTACACAGGGCATAACCGAGAGGGTGATCAACGGATGAGACGGCGAAGAATTGGCCTTTCGGTGTACCCTGTCAGACTCAGCTGCATTCGCCCCCCAAAGCCTCAGCACCCTTCTGCACCAGTATGCCCAGCAGCCAACTGGGCAAAAGTCACTGATTTGCCATTACAGTGGAGAGCGAACAGGACAGGGGCAAAAACAAGAAGCTGGGAAGCTGTGGGTGAGCATTAGAACGGATTGTGATGATGTATGTACAACTCTTTGTTAAAGCGATTTCGTCATGGAAGTGTATGGTTGTGAATATTCTATCAAGAAAACTACTCTAAAAAAAAGAGAGAGACCAAACTTGACCAATGGTTACCATGGGTGAAGGAGAAAGAGTGGTTGCTTAGGGGACATTGAGTTTATGTTAATGGCAGTGGATTTTACATGTAGAAGTTGTAGAATTGGAGAATGCTGTTATGTACATTTTGGCCACACCTAGGGGGGAAAATTACACGAATAACAATGAGTACAAGGAATTGAATGTGGTGATAATTGTACAACTCTTCTTGATCTGATTGAATTGTATGACGTGGATAAAGTGCTAATAAAACTGTTTTAAAAAAGAATCTAGGAAGCTCCTGGTTAGAAAATAGGCACAAAAACAGAAACCAAGGAGTGGCAAAATATTTATCGTCCCTACAACACACGGCACAGACAGCAGATGCCCAAGAAATATTTGGTGAGTGACACCCGAGACAACCGCGCTAACGAGACCTTAAATCTCCCGTCGAAGAAGCTCTCCAACCACACTGCGGACACGTGCCAAGTCCAAGCAGGTCTAAGGACGCCTCCTCCTTCCACTCCTCGCATCATGAAAATACAAAGGGGCCGAAGAATTTCCTCTCCCATTTGTCTTTTTAAAATTGTAGCTTAGCAAATCTTATCTCTGGATGGAGGAATCCACAAAGCACCAGGCTCAGGTCAAGGAAGAAAATGGGCCATGCAAGACTCTGTCAAGACCTCGGACCAGGACAATTCCACATCACCTAGAGCCAGAGTCCCGGGGGTGCAGCCAGGTAACAAGCTCAGCTTCTAACGAAAAGGTGATGGTTCATGTCCACCCAGCGGGGCCTTGGAAGAAAGACCTGGTGCTCTACTTCCACTGGCTCAGCTGGGTAGACAATACCTGCCCCTGGGAGAGCCACCGAGGGAAGAAGAATCCACTAATCTGTGGCCTCCAGAAATCTCCTCGGTGGTTAATGAGAGGCCAAGAAGTGAAGGCAGTTCGTTCAGAAGCGAGTAAAAGAGGAACTCACAAGGGGACTTTCTCCTCGGTGGTGAGGCTGAACACCACCTTTCCCAGGACCACAACACCACCGTTCACACCAGGCTGCAGGGCACTCAGTGGCTTGAGTTCCAGGCGCATCTTCTGCCCAGAAGCTGACTGATAGCGCCCATCACCACAAGGGCCGAGATGCGCTGGTCGCAAGCTTCCCAGCATGCTCTGCAACTTTTTGGTCTTTACCTTTCCCTGAAGAAGAAAAACAAAAAGGTAAGAAGCTGGGTAATCCAGGGCGGATAATCCCTTCAGGACCAGTGGTGAGTGGCAATACTGGGAGGGTAGAGGGAGGGTGGGTTGGAAAGAGGGAACCCATCACAAGAATCTCTATGTGACCTCCCTGGGAAATGGACAACAGAAAAGTGGGTGAAGGGAGACGTTGGACAGGGCAAGCTATGACAAAATAATAAATTTATAAATTATCAAGGGCTCATGAGGGAGGGGGGAGCGGGGAGGGAGGGGCAAAAATGAGGACCTGATGCCAGGGGCTTAAGTGGAGAGCAAATATTTTGAGAATGATGAGGGCAATGAATGTACAAATGTGCTTTACACAGTTGATGTATGTATGGATTGTGATAAGAGTCGTATGAGCCCCTAATAAAACGACTTAAAAAAAAAGCTAGAAATTAAGTCACTCTCAATCAGTCTAGTCCTTCTGCCCGACCCACCCACTTCTGTCAGATCACCGCCACTTCAGCCTCTTCTAACTTTAGGAACTCTACCCAACACAGGAGAGGAAGGGCCAGTCCTGTAGGTCTCCTCACCTTGCTCTCAAGGAGGCTGGTTAATCTCTCCAGGAATTCCAGGAGCTGCTGTTCTCGTTGCTGGGGCTCTGGCCAGCCGGGGTCCAGTGCTGCCGCGCGCGAGAAGCCATCCAGGGCCTCCCCGTAACTCTCCTCATATTTATGTAGCTGCACAAGTAACCCAAGACCTCCCAGTTACAAGTGTAGTTCAGGAGAACTCTGCCAGGGGAGTGGAAGCCCCGGGGCAAGGACTCTAGAGAAATGCACCCTTCTCTTTCCCAGTCCCCCCAGGCACAGCCTGGAAGCTGCCAGCAGCCGACAGCCTTCCTCCCTGGTCATGGACATCACTACCAAGGGTCACTTTATTTTCATACTGAAACTGAACACTGCAGCCAAGTTGCCCCAACGGTCCGCCCATCCTCTGCCGACTCTCCCACCACCTCCGCAGTCCCTTCTCCTTTCCAGTCAGTGACTCTACCAGACACCGAAGGGAAAGTGAGCTGAGCTTCCTCTTCCTAGAAATAGCTTGGCTTTCTGCTGGCTGTTTGTATCCAGCCTAGTAGTCAACTTGTCCTCACAGGCGAAAGCCTAGCTGTCTCATCTGTCTGACCTTGAGGTCCGCCCCCCTCAGGTCTTACCGTTGCCCTGTTCAGATGAAGGTCAGGATTGGTGGAGGCTGTGCTGTCAACCTTCTCCTAAAGCAGGAGGAAAAGATCGTCAGAGGATCCTGTCTGGGTCTCAAGGACCCAGCGTGGCCAATAGGCCCTAGGTCTCTCTCCCTAAGAGAAAAATGTTATTGTTTTTCTGGTCAAAATTTGGCCCATACACACACTGATGCTCAGCAACTGCTCGTGCGATCTACAGTTATCAAGAGATGTGCCAGAAAACGTCACCCAGAACAGTTAATTAAGTGCCTAAAACTTCCAACAACATATGGGGCATTTCTGTGTGACTTTAAAATAGGATTATAATGTATCCATACAATACGAGAAGGATAGAATAAAAGGTATGTAAAAGCATTGATTTAAAAAAAATTTTTGTATTTTATTTTAAATAATGAGATGCCGATACCCTGCGTAAACCTTGGCAAAAATGATGCTAACGTAATGCGTTTCCTCTGCCTGAGAGTTTGACTCTAGACATGCGTAGAACCTCGTTTCCAGCCCAGCTCCTCTACGACACACACTGGAAGTGACACTGATTCTCTACGGAGAGTGTGCTCGGGCAGGACCTGTCCACAAACCAAGAGGCAGTGGTTCAAACAGAACAAGGGGAGCATGGTGTGCATCAAGGCTGCATCCCGTCCCTGTACGTATGCAATCTGTACGCTGGGCGAGTCGCCAGAGAAGCTGGGCGGTACGAAGAGCGTGGCATCGGGATTGGCGGAGAGCTCAGTAGCAACCGGTGCATGCAGGGGACACAACCTTCCTTGCTGAAAGCGAGGACCGGAGGCACTTGGTGATGCAGATCAAAGGAAACAGCCTTCAGTGTGGATTATATTAACACGCAGAAAACAAAAGTCCTCACACATCGACCGGGAGACATCATGAGAACGGAGAAAAGACTGAAGGTGCCCAGGATTTCATTCGACCCGGAAGCAGCAGTCAGCAATCAAACAACACACTGCACCTGGCAAATCTGCTCCACAATGCCACGTAACAGTGTTAAAGAGAAAGGATGTCCCTCTGAGGACTAAGGTGCGCCTGAGCCAACGACTGGCACTTTCAACCTGGGCACTGAATCAGGAACACTAACGAAGGACTGATGGCCTTGAATTATGGCGTCGGCGAAGAATGCTGAAAATACCACGAACTGCCAGAGGAACAAACAAATCTGTTCTAGAGCAAGTTGCGCCAGGATAATCCTAAAAGAAAGGACGGCGAGACTTCAGCTCATCTACGCTGCACGTGTTATCAGGGGAGACCAGGCGTGGTAAAACGGAGGCTCGGTGAGAAAGAGAAAAGCCCTCACCCCATGGCTGCACCGACGGTCTAAGACGTAACAATGATGAGGGTGCACAGGGGGCGTTTCGTTCTGCTGTTCACAGGGTTTTCTTACGTCCGAAGCAGCACCAGGGCCCCTGACAACGATCAGAACGGCTGGTCCAAGCACAGGCAGAGCCAACAAACCGGCTGTGCAGAAAACTGTCTTCTTGAATTCTACGCATGCCTGGTGCACGGCCACAGAGTAAGTAAGATGAACTAAAATGGTTTAAAATGGCTGGGTCAAATGTGTTTAAAGGTATGGTTGGATGACTGAAGAGCTGAACTTCGGGAGGTGGAGGGGAATGACGAGCTCGTAAGGAGCACACGAATGAAGAAAAAGCTCTACAATGGATTGTGGTGATGATTATATGACTTTTTTTTCTCCCCCTACCCCCCAGCAATTATACAACTCTTATCTAGGTGACTGAACTACTGAATTGTATTATATGTGAATTATATGCCAATAAAACTATTGAAAAACAAAATTAAGGGTGAAGGGAGACGTCGGATAGGGCAAGATATGACAAAATACCCATTTATAAACTATCAAGGGCTGATGAGGGAGGGGGGAGCAGGGAGGGAGGGGAAAAATGAGGACCTAATGTCGGGGGTTTAAGTGGAGAGAAAATGTTTCGAGAAACGATGTACAAATGCGCTTTACACAATTGATGTGTGTATGGATTGGGATAACAGTTGTATGAGCCCCTAATAAAATGTAAAAAAAAAAAAAAAAGATGTAAAGTCTCAGAAGCTCTCAGGAAAAAATAAATAAATAAATAAATAAAAATAAAAAGGGTTGAACTAGTCAGTAGAAATCGACTCATATAAAACCATAAAAAGCACACCATATTATTTAAATGTAAATATTTGTCAAACTAAGAAACTTGAGTAAAATGTACTTTCTCGCCCTAAAAGTTTCTGGGCTGAAAGAGCGGACCCTAAACTGCTTGCCTGAATAGGTGGCAACTGCATTTCTTATTATGCCACACAGAGCCACCCAGTAATGGCAAAGAGGAGAAATCATGTCGTCCTGATGCTGCTGTCTGGGGATGCACCAGACAACACACTGGGCAAAACCAGTCAAAACGGGCACACAGTACACGATTCCGCTTACATGAACTATCTGGAATCGACGCGTACATACACACCTGCTTACGAGTGGCACCCAGGGACAGGCGGGACCGAAGGGATGAGGGGGAGTCACTGCTCAGAGGGCCCCGAGCCTCCAGTCAGAGTGACGGAGAGCGGTGGAACAAGGAACAGTGACTGGTGCGCAGTAACATGAACGCAACGTCACGGAATTTTATCAGTGAAGAACAGTCAAGCGGCAAATGATTCATTACCCACACGGTCGCTACCAAAAAAATGCTAGATTTTATAGGTAAGACAGCAGGTCTTTTAAGAATTGAATTGTTTGGGGTTTCATTTTTACAAAAATGAAGTTTCCTAAAACACTGTAAAATGCCCCGGGGGTGGGGGTGGGGCAAATGAAGCAGCCGCTCTGTATGTCACGGAAGCACGAGAGCGGAGAGCAAAGGCAGGGCGGCTGTGAGGGTCACAGAGAGCGTGTGCACGCGATGTCACAGACGGACACCCGGGCCTGTGGCTAGCAACAGAAAGGGGTCTGAAACACAGCCGAAGCTCCAGCGAATGAATCCCTAGGAAATGAAACCAAAGGGGCAACATGCTGTGAGCTCTTGGGGTCCCCGGGAATCTACAGCCACCCTCACAGCGAATGGTCGTGGCTCATTTGGGCGTAGCCTCTAATTTGCATGGTCAGTGCGCCTCAAGTGTGGTCACCACTCCCAGGTCAGTGGAGCCTCGCAGGTGGCTGTTAACACTGAACGGGCGTCAGCGGAGCTCCAAGACAGACACATAGTAGGAGGAAAAGGCCTAGCTCCAAGACAGACACATAGTAGGAGGAAAAGGCCTAGTCTCTGCTTCTGAAAAACCAACCAATAAAACCACTTTGGATCATAACATGCAGATGCCCTGGGCATGGAGATGGTGGTACAAGCCTGGGCAGCATTTCATTCTATTCTACATGGGTCACTCAGAGTCAGGGGCTGACGGATGGTGCCAACAACCAATAAGAGGAGTTTTCCTTTCATGTAAAAATGAACACCAATGTGATTAAGTATTCTTTTCACAGAATTTTTTCCCCATTAAAAATGATGTACTTCCTGAGATAGGTTCTGTGATTTGGTTATGCATGCCATGAGAGAAAACAAGGCTTCTCAATGGAGAAAATACTCAAGTTATAGGAGAAGTCATTCGCCTTTGCTGACAGAGCTTAGCAAACCCA